CGGAGCTGTTAGTCTGAGATGGCGAGAGTAGAAGTACTGAGCGCGTACAGAGCGGTGCTACGAGCGACGCGGAAGTCGTTCGCCGGAGACACGCCGATGCTGAAGGGTGCGGCGGCGGAGGTTCGCAAGAAGTTCGAAGAGAATAGGCACGTGACGTCAGAGGCGGAGATCCAGAGTCTCCTGGAACAGGCACGTGAGGCCTCCCGTTTCATCAGCGAAATGATCGTCCAGGCCAAGCTCAATCCCCGCGGCGGTTATGGTAAATTTTCAATTCCAAATAATCTCTCTCGTAAATCCCTTACATTGTTGCAGTAGTAGCAAGCGTGTGTTCCTAATGAAACGACGGCGTTGTGAATGCCTTGGGTGTGTTTGTTAAAATGCTTGTGTGGGTTGCTTTTGTGTACATTTTCTGTTAGATTTCAGTGATTGGTTTTTCTTATCGTGCCGAAATTCGAAATCTGATATGGTAAGCTCCAATGAAATGGCAATAGTAATTTAGCATAAGGAATCATTGAGGAGAGAAATGTTGCTACACCGGATGTCATTACAGTGGTGTTTCAGATCGCGTGTTTGACTTGAGATACCGCAACAGTGACCGGGAAGTTGAGATTGATGAGAGTTGCATATGATATATTTGCTTCTGTCATGAGCAGAATTCCAAAGAGGTTTGTTTACCGTTCGAACTCTGATTGGTTTTGCAGAAGTGAAGCCGGAAAAAGATCATGCCGGGGCAACACTTGAGGTTCCTTCCGAAGAGCTTCTTCGCACCAAATCTTGACTCGAGGAGAGGCATTTGCAAAGGTATGGCGGCACGCTCACTGCTTTTTTGAGGGTTGGGGGGTTTTTCTCCATTCGATTGTCTACCAAGCTTTCAAGAATTAGTAGGAAGTTGAACCATTTGTTGATGAACAAGTTGTTCTATTTTGATTAGTAAATGTAATATGATTTTGGATGCATAATTTCTGAATGGCGACACGAGAAGAATGCACAAATAGAACTGTAATAAACTTTCTATCGTCGGTTTAGTGTCCACTCAGTTTTACAATTTATTAAATTTGTAACCAGTACTATTTATGCACGGTTTTTGGTTTTCATCCTTGCCAATTCATCAAATGAGTTGAGCCAATTAAACAGATTACATTGCAATTGCAAATGAAAGAAGTAATATGAAGTGATTGGTTCCTTAAAACATATGTATTGATGGGTGCATCAAAATTTCTGTCTTTAAATAGACTGCAAACACTCAAATTGTTGATGCTGGCATATCAAATTACAAAAGGGAAAGACACCTTCGGAAGTTGCTAGTCTTCGTCAATATCTTTACCATCTTCTTCTTCATCATTTTCCTCATCTTCGTCATCAATTTCTTCATCTTCGTCATCGTTTTCCTCATCTTCATGGTTGTCTTCCTTTTTCTTCCCATCGCCATTTCCTAATCAAAGATAAGGATATGTAATCTTCTCTTAATCATGTCATAGTGCAGACTCTTATCAAAATCACTAGAAATGGTAAGACAGAACAAGATTAACGTACCGTATTCACTGAAGATGACTCCACCGGAGCACAATCCTTCCTCAATCTTCATGAGTTGAAGAGTCATTCTGGGTCCTATCTCTTGAAGCTTGACAGCACTTTTTGAGGAAGCCCGATTAACCCTACCTAGATCATTAGCCAAAGTCACAGTCGCTGCCTCATCATCTGCTTCACTTTCTGATCCGTAACCAGCCCTTCGGAATAAGATAAAAGATCGAGTTTAGTCCACTTTCAAAATGCAAAACACACAACCGTCTTATCTTTTCCTCTATTGTACTTCATTATGGTCTTTTTCCCGTAAAAAAACCTTGAGGAATCGAATTAAATTCACGCGTGATGTATCAAGTATATGACTGAAGGAAACAATCCAATTGCAAAATCAAATAACATAAATTTGAAGGCAGATAAGATCATAAGCATTCTTTAACAAATGCGCTCAAAACATTTCCAACTATCAACTCTAGTAATCTACTCGTGTTTCCCCAACTCGGTCCACAATGAAAAATTGGCACGCCTCAATGACTTTTTATAAAATTAAATTGAAAACGCAAGTTCTAATTTCCATTTCCAAGCTGATTTAAACTGCTTCAAACCCAATAATGGAAAATGAAATAACTAAACAATAGGAGGGGATAAAGAAGCCTTACTTCGTGACAAAGTCACTCACGTCTTGAAGATTTCTCAGATCAGGGACTTGATGGTTCTGAACAAATCTTCTTAATCTCTGGGAGACACCCACAGGCTGTAATCTTATGGAGTAATGCCGAAAATCAATCAGTTTTGTGTCCTTGTTGTAATTAAGCAACACTATTCTTTGGCATGAAGAAAGTTTCACCTGAATCATTTACAGCAAAACCGCAGTCAGCGGGGAACATAAATCCTTTTTAATATGATAACTGGTTGATATCATTTCATCAACTTACAGTGTTAACATCAATGGCTGGAAAGATGTTCTGAAACAGTATGGTTGTGAGCTTCAAATGTTGCTCTCCAGTCCCAAAACCAGAAAGAACAATCTACGAAATAAAAACCACCGTTCATTAGAACCCATTTCATGATAATCTGTTCATGAAACTTTAAACAAGCTGAATTTGCCTAAGTCGATTGCAACTGATTAATTATGCATCAACTCAATTTCCATTTGAGAATGAAAGAGAGAGAGGGCATTTAAATCTACTTTTCTCTTGTGTATTGTGATAGAGATATAAGATTACCAAAGGGGCATTCTTAAAAAGATCTGCTGGGCATCGAGGACGCTTTTGAGACCGCGCAATATCTACTGCCAAAGAGTACTCCTGTATCTTAAATGTAAGCGTTGGGCCTTGAGGCGTCCTCGCAACCCTAAGGTATGGAGCAGTTGGAGTTTTCGACAACATGAGGAAGTGTGTAACCCCCATAGGCCCGGCCACATTCAAAAAGTCTCTAAGATTATTCCGCCTCTTCTCCTGCATAAAAAAACATTGCAGAAAAAGCTCAACTCTTTACTCGAGGTTTTCACTCCAGAATAAATCGGCGACTGAATCAATCAGAACTGAAACAAATCAAAGATTATAGCACAAATCGAAGATTATAGCACATATAGAACCAATTGACCGGCCGAATATTCGCATACCTTAAGCTTAAGGGCAGTGTAGGGAAGCATCAGCTTCCTCAAATCAGCTTGAAGTTGCCTCAGAGGACCAGGCAACTTGCATCTGGAAAACACAAAGCTCCTTGGGATTTTATCCCCTGTGACATGGTCCACATTAGCCTGCTTCTTCAACGAAACCGGTTTCACAAACACCTTCTTCTTCTGTTTTCAAATTTTCCAAACACAACAATCAACTACGTTTCCGATAAAATTAACAACAACAACAAAAGAACCTTTCTTTGATTCAATTTTCTCGGCAACCAAACAGAACCCAAAAATTTTAAGCTTACATTTTTGAACCGAGCCATGTATTCCAAAAATATTGAGTTTCTGTGCTTGCAATTTCAGCTTCGTAGCTTCGTGTTTAATACTGCAAAAAATATTTTTTATAAAATTACACGCATTTAGCATACAGATAGATTGAATTTATGCTAGGGAATCGTCAGATAATTAAAAAAATAAATATTAATTAAAAGTTAAAAAAAAATTACCTTTGTGCGTTTAGGGTTTTGGGGGAGCTCTCTGTGCGAAGTTTTAGACGAAGGAAGGTGATAACTGAGGAGAAACAGCGAAGAAGAGGACGCGCGAGGCAAATTAGGTTGTTTATTAGGCGCATCTGGACCGTTGAATCGTACTAAGGAAATGAAGAAGGGACGACGTCGTTTGGGCAACTGATTGTTGGGCTTATTTTAGAGAACTTTAACGAAAAACTCTCGGTACTGTTCATTTTAACGAAAAACCACATTTTTACACAAAAAAATCAATCCTGATACTATTCAATTTACCTTTTATTTTGTTCTTATAGTTAAAACTCAATGTTTTCAAACTCTTTTCATTAGTTTTTCTCTTATTTATTTTATGGTGCTCTTTGCCTGAGTCCGGTTGGCGTTGGGCTTGGTTCGGCTGGTTCAGCCTCCTTTGTGGGCAACCCAAGTTTGGTCCAATCAAAAGTAATGAGGTTTGTTTTCGGAAAATACTTGAGTTCTGACTAGTCAGTACTATGTATTTATTATTCTATCATTGGTCTTAAATCACTATGATTGGCCATTCTGTTTTGTGATACAACGATCTTTACAGTAATGGGCAGGGGAAAAAATTTGTTACGAACTCATTATTCATGAAAAGAATTGTTATTGACACTACAAAAATCTCATTCTACACTCCAAACTTTCTATATTTAGAAAGGAAAATACATTTGTGAGGAGTGTAAAATGAGATTTTTAGAGTGCCAATAACACTTCCCTTCATGAAATTCAAACTTAAGACATTTCACTTACAAGTAATAAGAATATCACTAGACCATAATATTAAATGACTTAGTTTTGATATTATTACATATACAATCGATGTGGCATAATATGACATCATGTTGTTGCCCGAGCTTGGTCCAATCAAAAGTGTTGTGATTTGTCCCGTAACGAAACGATATTATTTATATGAGATACGTTTAAATATGATGATAAAAAACGTATAACATGAGTGCATTGGTAACACAGCATAGCAATTCGATAGTTCAACCCAAAATTACTCAACTATATAAGATGGGAAAAGATAGTTTATACTAGTTGCCAATAAGGAAAACTAAATAAAAAAGAGATGTTCGTGACAGAACAAGGGTACAAAACATTTATCATGAAAGATCCAAAATTAATTTATTCACGAGAAATGTCGGTAATCTTACATATTGGCGTGAACTGGACAAAAAAGGATTTGTGGCCTGCAGCCCCTTCACATGTTTTTCACCACTTTTCAACCTAAAATTTCTGCTCATCAGTCATATCCCTCTCTTTCCAGCTTCATCTTTTGTATCACTCACCAGCCTCTCGCCTATGAAAAAAAGTTCCCACCCTCTAGGACCCTTTATAATAAGCTTATTAACCCTCTCATATTTCATCATCTTTCTCCGATTTAACGCTCTTATGCTCTGCATTATGATTTATATGGGGTGACGGAGGAATCGTACCATTTGAGCCTTTTGTTACTTGTTTTTCCTAGATTTCCAGAGAAATCTGCAACCAATACGATTTTCTTCCTAGTTCTCTCTTTTGAAAAGCAAAGCGTTGAAAATTCTTTTTCCTTTCCGCAATGAAAATGGCATCTTGTAACAGTTATATTTTCGTGTCGCTCATTTTTCATGTAATATGGCTGATTTGTTCAACCCAATTATTGGCATCTGGAAAGGGGGACAAAAATTATGTCCAAGAGGCCTGCAGTGTGACCAGGTATCGGGATGTTTGCATCCACTCGCTCGCACCGTTTTCGAGCTCAGCCAAGAACAGCCCCAGCAGGTGGGCACGAGCCGGGGTTTCAGTTTCGTTGAGCGAGGCCGAGAGTGCCACTCGGTACTTGGTAATGTTGCCTTTTATCATAAACGATCGCTGTGGTATTAGTAGTAGAACAATTCACCTATATATTTGTATTTTATTTTGTACAGTTTCCGACATGTAGATTTGTTACATTCTTCAACAGGTAACTCTGAAAACGCACGGGGGTGGTTTGAACGGGAGAAACACAGTTGCTTTGTCCGACTGCATTGAGTGCTTTCAGAATGCGATCGACGAGCTTCACAAATCACTCGGTGTTTTGAGGACGCTGACTAAGATGACATTCGACACGAAAATGGCGGACCTGAATACCTGGCTCAGTGCTGCCCTAACTGATGGAGATACTTGCTTGGATGGCTTTGAGGGCCAGAAAGGAAAACCAGTCAAATTGCTACAAGACAGGGTTTTAAAAGTTACCTATATCACCAGTAATGCACTGGCCCTTGTTAACAAACTTGCAACTACTGACTTGGGAAGCCTTCCTAATTTGTAGGAAGATAACATTATCAATAATGTTATTCTTACCATATTTTTGTACCACAATTCTATATCACCGTAGATGACATCTGATATAGACAGTCATATCATCTTAATTAATTACCATTTAATTTCACAATGTTAATAAATAATTAATAAAAAAGATTGTTAATTAAATGATGATTGTGATATACGAAGAGCCTCATTCTTCCACCTAAGATTATTTAAGTGTTTTAATTAATAAAAAGATTGAAATTAAATGATGTAGCTTGTCCAACTCATCTGCCACCTAAGATGGTAAAGAAATGTGGTATAAAATTATGGTAAGAATATCATTACTCTAAGACTATGACTGTATATGTTGTGTTTAATTAACATGTGATTGGGTGATGGGCATGGGCGGATTCATAGAGCGGCTTGTGGTCTGGGAAAAACGCCTATGGAAGTCCTTCTAGGACCCTACAAATGCTAGGTAAGGGAGGACCGTTATATTCCTAAGGTTCTACAGTCTAAGCAATTTTATTTTGTATTGTTAAACGCCATATGGTTATAAATTTATAGTCTAAGCAATTTCATTCAAGGAGGGTGAATGAGTTGCAGGCTTGCAGCAGACTTCTCATGAGGAAGAAGACCCATATAAAACCCTCTCTATTCCTTTGAACGTCCTCGTTCTTGCTTTGTCATATTAATTTTTAATGAAACGATACAATTTTTTGTGTAGGGGACATATATAAAAAAGCTATCAATGAGTCATAAATTGAGGGAACATATTTTTTTTATATACATAAATGACTTTGCTAGAAAAGATGCATACAGCTTAGACTTTGTAAATAGTAATATTATTTTCGAATCTTTTACATTGGAACCTGCAACCAAAAATTCTGAATCCGCCAGGTTTAAGGGTTTTTCACAATCTGACTATATATTATGAAGTAAATATGTGATTGTTTATTGTTTGTAACGAACAACATTAGGTTACTAGCAAATTCAATTAAACAAATTGCGCTTGGTATAATTGGATGGTTTCATATTTGTAATAGTACACTTGCATGCACATTCATGACTTGGTGTACAAGTAACATAATAAGCTTTTACAAGAAACCCAAGCCCACAGGACGTACAACCAAACCTAGCCAATACGTAGAAGAACTCTAACAGTTCAACTTAACCACCTTCTAACATATACTCGATATCGTGGCAATGTAGGAAGCCGTCGTCTTGGATTCTTGGGAACAATCACAAGTTCAGCCGGCCTATATTTAAACGAGAATGTCGCGCCATCCAACATTTAGCTATAGAGTTTTTATCGCAAAATGTCTCGATGCAATCACTAATTACCTTCATGACTTCTAAAGACTGATCAACAACCTTGATAAGGACTCACATAACCTTAACACTCATGATAAACTGCAATTTAACCATAGTTAACGCAGGAGGTGGAGCTGGGATCAACAACCATGCACACCTGTGGTTGCAAAAGAGAACCATAATGAATTCGAAATTCGACCAGTTTGATGTTTGTTGTTGCAGGTATTTATTTTCTTCTTCATGTTTGCAGTGGTTGTAGGATTCAGTGTCGTTATGTCACCACTTGTAATACTGTTTTTTTAAATTAGCAAGCAATTATTGAAGTCGTTGCCATTATTAATACGTAACATGGAGGGCGACAAATGAAGACGGACTTGGTATAATAATACAAAGATTTCTCAGCTTCAATCGATTCTCAAATTTGGTGTTTCCATCATTCTTCATGACATTATCGGAGCTTCGTTTGAACTGCCTTGTCTTGTACATATTAAGGGTTCTTCTAATAACTACTTTGTTTTTCGATTTTACTTTTAGTGCTAGTGATTGAGAAAAAGAGGGATAAAGAATGATGACGATGAGAGATTCTTAAGTGTCCTGAAAACACGGCCTAGTACACTGTACATCGAATATCATAATACAAGTGGTTAGATACTTAAAAATGGAATTTACAATCACTTGTATTATGACACTTGGTGTACTGGAACGTGTTTCTGGCACACTAAAAAACATTCTCGATGACAAGGGAGGAGGGAGAAATATCAAAACTAAAACATCAATGCCAAAACAAGTTAAAAATAATAAAAATTATAAACGAAACAATTATCAAACATTCTAAAATTTATTTTAATTATCTTGAACAACATAATATATTCATTCTTTTATCATATATAATGGCAATGTCGTATGGCAAACTCCATGTACATGAGAGACTTTCTCATCCAACAAAGATCTAGTCTTAATGGTTTCACCGTCCAATATTTAAAAAAATTGACATGTGATGAATTTACGACATAAAAAATATCTACATACATGTGATCGACTGTGAGACTTAGTTAATTTTGGATCAATACCATACAACTTTAACTTTTTAAAACTTATTCCACATCTTGAAATTGTGGACATTAAATTTGAAAGTCTGTCTAAACCCCATTTAAACAGACTTCAATTTGGATATTTTTACTTAAAAGTATTGGAAGTCATTTTCCTTGCAGAAATTTGACAGCATGTTATCGACCACAGTGCCTGGAGTGTTTGGACGGCCCAAATGTCGTTTAGGCAGATACCAGTAGACACATACATAATGAATATTGTCTGGTCACAGTTCATCTTTTATGTCTTGAATAGCCTTGGTGGGTCAATTTATTTGCAGAAATCTATATGTCAAACAAATAGGACGGTCTATTTTTATGCATTGGACCGTTTTACATTTAACCTAAAAACTATTAATTTCTTGCGGCCGAATATAAATTGACCTTCGAACTTTAAGTACGAATGACTACTTAATTTAAATAAATAAATAAATTGGTTTAGTCTTTTAAAATATCTAAATAATTATTTTATATTTCAAAATTGTTCTCTAACTTCACTAGTGTTAAATAATGATATAACTAATGTTAAGTGATGACATCGCCATTGTGTGATGATTTGAACAAAATTATGAGGGATGTTTTTGTGATTTCACTAATATGACCATCAATGAACTTTAAATTCTCAAATGGACCCTTTTAGCTAAGTGAATTTAGGGTTTAAGTTAAAAAATGACTGATTTAGTAAAACGCCCTTTGCTAATCTGCCACGTCATAATGCTAGTAACATAACACATATACATTTTTTAAAACGATATATAGTTATTTTGAATATTTTCCGTACTTAACCCTAAAATGTTCTTCGTAAAAAAATAAATAAATAAATGGAAAAACCTAAAATTGTAATTTTGAATTTCGTGGGGACCAACCCCGCCGACAAGAATAGCCAAGAAAATTCTCACGTTTATAACAATTTGGCCTTATATTAATATACTTATTAGACAAAGTTGTTGATGATCTATAAACTAAAACAGGAATAAACAATAAATAATAGAATTAAAAGGTACCTAATTGCATTTATTTGCTCAACTTTCACAAATAAATTAACTTATTGGCACCAAGCGAATGGATTTCAAGTTTGATGTGCCTAATATGCCCTCTACAACTACAAATCATTATGTCATTAAGTGGGCTACAAAATTTTTATGTATGAGAAAGGTTGCACATTGCAGTCATATGTGACAGTTCCAAATATATGCAAACATATATATATATATATGCCAACAAATATTATAAACAATAGGGGATGAATTATTAGGGTAAGGGCATGTCCACTTGTGCCTAAAATCTGGTGGGTGGGAGGAGTTTAAAATTAGAAGGCTTGGACTAGGGATGGGTTTAAAAAACGAAAACCGAAAAACACACTGAATTGAAGCTGAAAAAACTGAACTACAAGAAAAACCGGACTAAACTATAAAAACTTGATGCTTTAGATCTGAAGTTGTAGCCTGCTGGGTTGATTGATTCGGTTGAAGATATAAACTTTTATTTTTACTTTAAATTACAGAGGTTTGATTTGGTTAAAAAATAAAAAAATTTAGATAAAAATCCTGAATCAAACCAAGAAAAATTAAACTGAAAAAACCAAACAAATAGTAATTTTGGTTCGCTTTTCAATTTTGACAAAAAAACTAAACGATTAAAACCGAACTCACCCCTACTTTGGACGTTGGTCATAGAATAGGCAATAAAAAATAACAACTAAAGAAAAAAAATATGTGAGTATTGGGTTATGAACTTTGATCCGATTTGAGATTAGTTTCTAAATAAAAAATCTCTGAAATTGTCATAATGTGAAGACATAATTATTTGTGTAACCTTGTTAGGATTTCCGTCTCTCATTTGTCCCGTGATATCCTTTATTTTAGAAGTTCTAACATTAGTGTTTTTCAAAAAAATCATTACTCTACATTGTAAAGAGTTTATAAATCATTATTCGTGATTCTTTTATTTAGAAATTAAAACTCTAATGAAGCAAACTCTCAAGACTTACATTCGAATTTTGAATTTTCTCAAAAGAAAAAGCATTAATAAATGAGTATTCTCTTTGTAAATTAATAATATTCTTCATGGTAAATAAAAGTACGATATTCATGGGTGAGCATTAGAATCTGCACCACAATGCATCGTTATGAAAAAGTTAGTGTCTGAAATCTGAATGGTCAATTTAGTACTATGTGAGCACAATCATGGCAATTGGTGGCCAAGTTTGGCAGAAAAACGCGCTACGTCGTTAATATAATTAAGTCACGTGTACGGCGCAGCGACATCAACGTTGATTTTATGTGAATGCTCCTTGTCCTCCGACGTGCAAACCAAACCCTATCTTTGTGGGTCTCGTTAACATGCATCCTGTTCATGCATGATGCACCTAAAATTCACTGATTTTAAATCTTCGGCAACCAAATTTCTTTCTGGCCTCTTTACGATTTTTTCACTTGATTGACACGTGTTATTTCGCCTTAATTTAACATTACATTTTCATTTTTTTTTTTCAATTGAGAAGATAAGTTGAGGAGTTAAAACTGTCAAGTGAAATTTAAATAAGTGGACTGGTATCAACAAATGAGATGAATCATAAAGAGGCCATAAAGAATTTTGAGTGCAGAAGATTTGTAATTAGAATCTTCTACTATGACACAATTTTGTTTTTTTTTTTTTTCAACTAGCTCACCCAAATCAACATACGACAAAAAAGACGTGCAAACTACACAGGCGACAAGA